GAAGAGTTGACGCAGTGAAATGAACTGAAGCAGGTGGTAATGTAGTCTTCCAGCGGCCTGAATATCCTCTTCGGATCATCGGCATCAAGGAACCTGGGGCCCGCCGGCCGCGGAGCACTGGCGTCTGCCGTGAGCTGGCGCATGGTGGGCCTCTCGGGGTAAGAAGACGAAAATGACCGGGCTGTCGGGGGCAGGCGCAGCGGATGCACGTTGGGATTTTGGCGGAGCGTAGGCTGCTCGGGGAAGAGGTAGCCAGAGCCATTACCTTGGCTTCTCTCCCGCCTGTGCTGTGGGCCTCCTGTCGTTCTCGAAGTGCAAGGCCGTTCACTCTGTTCCCGAAACGGACTGGGGGTTGCGTGCCTCTCGGCGACGACCTCGCGATGCTCATCTTCTGAGCTCGAGGACCTCCTAATCGCCCTCGCTAGATGTGCATGGATGGATTGCCGGATCAGTCTCTTGGTCTGGTCGAGTGAGATGGGCCTGGTCTCGTATCGTTCCGCCGGGCGTGTGGTCTGTTTCTGAGGCGACGTCGACTCTTGGGACGGGCGCTGTAGCCATTTGGGGCCGCTATTGGATCTGGCCGGTAGCTGGTCCGGGTGGATGTCATTGATGGTGACACAGACTGTGCACTTGAAGACCTTCAGCTCGCGTGGCCAGCGCACGAGAGAGCCGCAGGTCATGCAATTGCCAGTTGCAAAGTCCCTGCTGCCACCACTGGTGCCTCCCCTCTTGTGTGTAGTGTTATTGTTGCCGGGCGGCTTCGTCATGACGGGCGCATCGTCTTCGGAATCGGTGTCATGAGAGGTGTCGGGGCGCTTCTTCTTGCTGGAGAATAGCGAAGGAAATGGGTGGCTCATGGAGCGGGAATGTGTCGGACGGCGCGGGCGTCTTGGGTGGAAATCGGATTCGGAAGAGCTCGAGTCGGCATGGAGGTGGGAGTTATCCAAAATCACATAGCTGTCGGGCAGTCGTCCCAGCTGGCCAGGTGGTGCAGTGTGCGAGGGGCTGTGTATTCGGGAGACAAGGTCGGCGGAAGTTTGACGGAGAGTAGGAGGGCGAGGAGGTGGAGCATGACGTTGCGACGACCAAGGAGCCATGTTTGCGAGCGATGCCGTCTAAACTCTGCGACAACAGCAAGGGCACCTGGCCAGCTTGGTCTGCAAGCAGCAAATCGGCATGGAGAAATGAGGATGTACAAGAAGGCAAGGTTAGGTTTTCCTCACGGTCTGTCCTTTCTCTCTTTCTCTCTTTCGAAATGGTTTCTGCCACGCGCCCAGGGAAGGTAGTTGAAGTAAAAGTGAGACGATGAAAGACGAGGGGGGTGGGAAAGTAAGGTGCGGCTGGAAGTGGGAGGGAGAGAGGGGAGAGCCTGCACTTTGAATTGAGTTGAAGGCGTGTCTCGTCCAACAAGTGTGGATGTAAGTCAAAGGGACGAGACAGGACACGGCATGACACTTGCTGCAGGAGAGGACAGGCTTCACGATGCAGGTAGTAATAATAAGGCGCGCAAAGAGGAAGTGTCCGACGCACCCATGCTGGGATTATGCTGTTGTGATAGGTTCTAGCTGTAGAATGCTGCAGTACGAACATAACAAGAGGCCATAGAGCTAGAGCAACGCCGACAAGGCGGAGGGCCCAGCAGTTGGGAACCTCGATACCACAGATTAAGTGTGGACTAAGTGAAAGTGACAACGGCTTCGTTGTTTTTGTTATGGTTATGGTGTCAATAGGTCAGCTACGGTACTTGGAGCTTGGTGTGCTTAGGTCCGGCTGGAGGTAGTGCAATTGACCGTCTTTAGTGTCCCAGCCGACAATTTGCGCCGAGCACACGCACATACACACATACATGAGAAGAGGTATCAGACGACGGTACGGACATGTAAAGGGCATGCGGAGGTGATGGTCTTTGAACTGAGCGCCGCGCTGTGCGTTCCTCCAGAAATCCATCCTGGCCACAGGCCACAGTACTACGTAAGAGAGACTGAGAGATTGTGTGCTGGGACACGACTTCGACTCGAGCTCGGTCGAGGGAGGGAATTAAAACTGAACAATGTAACGGCAGCAGTGTCCCGAACCAAGACATTCCCTAATAATTATGCCAGGTTCCATGTTTTCTCATCTCAATCTTGTCAGGTCTCGTATTCGACAGTCGACGCTGGGAGCACATGGAGCCGAGAGCGAATCAGCAGGCTGCGTATGTCAGGGCAAACATATTAGTACACCAAAAGTGATTAAACTGCTGATCCCTGGTGAAGCGCCGGGTGGCTGACTGAGTGCCCTTTCAAGTTTCCCACAGATTCGTATCTCTCTCTCTCTCTGACATTGATGCCGAATAGTAACGTTCTAGAGAAGAAACGAGTTTACAGTTATACTCCGATACACGGTTCACTGCTCCTTACCTGACTTGCAGGTAGGTTTGTACTTGTGTCAAAAGATGAAGGTGGCCAGCTTCCATGTCTAAACATTGTACTACATATCAGCATGAACCTAAGGTAAGGTACCTTGATGCATGAACTGCTAAAGAGCCTGCTGTAATTAAGGTCCCAGAAACGTCAAACATGATCAGCCACGCTGTCAATCTAACATAAGGTAACAGAATCATCAGCCTGGACAGCTGTGGGGTGACATGAAATGTTGCAATTTCCTAACGACAACCCCTGCTTTAAATGTTTTTTATTGAGGGATGGATAACAGAGGCGTATTTTAAGGGTCCTGGGCTGAGTGCCTGAAGCAGGGGGCCCTTTTTGCCGGGTCAGCACTCAGCTCCAGACTCCAGTGTAACCCAAGTCGCCAAACCAAACAAAACCAAGCCGACCGCGGCTGTGAGAATCCCTGCAGGGGAACACTCCAGTCTCCAGCGTGCATGCCCTCCCGCTCTTGCCCTGCCTTAGCACACCACTCAAGCTGCAGCTAGCGGTCCAAGGTCGCACTTCCCCGAGACCGGCACTCGGCGGGGGGAACTTCGGGAGACGGATAGTTTGTTCCTTCCTGTGTTCCACTCCGTACCTACCTAGGTAAGCACGTAAGGTAGGTACCTGAGGTAGGTCCCAATCCAACCAGGTCGTTTCCTTCCGAGTCCCGTCGGTGCCATCCAGCGCCAAGCCCGGCGACCTTAACTTCGAATGTGGGGGAAGGAAGTAATCGCGGATCCCCGTTTCGTCAATGACAAGCACCTGCCATTGGATCTTTGCTCCAGGCCTTTGCTGTTGCACACTTGCATCTTCATCAACCTTACACTACCCTCGACCTTCACCACGCAGCTTCCGCAGATGACAACTGGCACAACACACCGCCTCGGCCGTTTCAGCATCTCGTTGCATCCATGACACGCCCTCAAACCCGACTCTTCAACCTCGCTGTCCATGCCCGGACAACCGGGATCCCCCAAGCTCCACTCGGAGGAAGCTTCAAGCTCCGGTCCTGACCGCCGCCGTGACGTCAATTCTTGCCTTGTCCGTTCTCGTGGGCTACCTTACACACAATGTCTGCGCATTCGGACCCACAAGCGATCAAGCGCAGCGCAGCATTGGCTGGTGCCCGTAGCCGTGGTCGTTGTCCTCTTCAAAAGCTGTTTCTTGAACCTGACCAGATTGTTCTCCTGACCAATGGCATGGACCACTTGCCTACGGACGGATCGGTGAAGGGAACCTGAATGAGAAGACAGCAAGAGCCAGGATAGCATTTTGTCCTGCTTCTAGCCGTCACTCTATCAATCGATAGTATGCAAGCTGCCAAAATGTCAGCAACCTTGAGGCATTGGGTGCTTACTATTGGTCGTATGTCGCTCGCTTATTGTCTCTCTGCTGACGACTCTAGATCAATGCATCATACAAAGGAAATATGTGGGTGTTTGCGAACATTGTCATATTCTCATTCGTCATAACATATGAACAGCTACCTGGTTATGGCTTCGCTCCATACATCTACAGCATCTGCGCAAATTGCGGCGATACCGAGAATTGGCAGTTGATAAACTTGATCGTATCGTTGCACCAGTTGGCCTCCTTTGTTCCGGTGCCGACCATTCTTGCCTTGTCCGATGCCTTGGCGCCCTTCTTAAGCGTGCCCTGCAATGTGCTCTCGAAATCGCCCTTCACAATTGTAAGGTCTCCCTCCAGCTCTGCCAGCACCTCGCCGCTTTCGCTTCGGAGCTCGAACTTGCTTATGCCGTGGTTGATCTCCAACGGGCTGGGGTTGTACACCTTCATGGTGTTGACGAAACCACCGCCACGCTCCGCAGAGTTGACCTGCGCGATCTTGGGGCCGCCCATGCCAACGATGGGCACATCCTTTGCGTATTTGACCTTGGCCGACAGGCCGAGCGCCTTGATTGTGCAGTCGCCGTTGTCAAGTCGCAACACCAAGCTCTCGTCGCACATGATGGCTTTGACGAACGCCATGAAGGCGTTGCGGTCGAGGATCTTGATGAGCTGGTCCTTGACGACAACCTCCGTACCGCCAGACTTGGTCTTGACTTCCGGAAGATCCAGCTTGCCAAAGCAGCCGCCGTTAAACATCATGTCGACGGTCATCGGTGCCATTGTCGCGCCCATGGGTCCGGTGCCTGTGACCCTGCTCACGATTCCCATGACAAAAGTGCTGTAATTCGCACAGCAGTCAGATTATGACACAGAATGCCACCAATTGCATGCGCAGGAATGACTTACTCAGCCGTGGGCTGCGAGATCTTGATGTGCTCCACCTCCAGCTTGGAGCGGTTGAGAATGGCCTGGGTGATGGCGTCCATTTTGGCTAGTGTGCTGATTTGTGGAAGCGCTAGAGGAGTGGTGACGTTCAGTAAGCTAGTTTGGGTTTTGTTATAAGTGAGATTTGGTTATTGCAGTTGAAGTTGATTGATGAGATGATAGGAAAAGCAAGGTGAGGAGCATTGGGTTTTATACACGCTCGCCATCTCGTCCAATATCCTGGTCATCACAACCCAGATATGGCCTCACTGTCGTCACAACGAACACATGCAGCTTGAGCTGCCATGCCATGTGCTATTGAGCTGCCACAACTGCCTCGGAACCTGAGTCTCGTCTCCAACAGAACCCACCGCCACAACACAGTTCGCATAGCTCTTCGCATAGCTTGCTACCCTGCCACACCCCGTCCAAAACTTGACAAGGCCTCAGGGGGTTTAGAACGGCCAGTCCATCAGACGAAGAATGGTTGCTATTCGGTGAGCCCAACACTTCGGATAACACCCCTGCGTGTATGACAGATCGATCAACCCACCGATCCTCCTCTACCTGGGGTCTTGTCCCCCCTCCTCAAAACGGCAATTCCCTGTGCGGTGAAACACCCATGGAGTGCGAGGGTTTTCATCACAGCTCAGAAGCAGGAGCCAGCTCACGCACACAACGCAACGCACCCGCACCCGCATTCGCACAGCTTTTTTCGACGGCGGATCCCGCAATGCGAGTGAATGCTTCTTATTTGGTTCCCATTTCGCTTGGACGTCCCGTTTCGGGAAGCATTGAGCGCTTACCTGCCCTTCTATCCCCCCCACCTTCAACTCAAAAGAAATAGTGGAAGAGAGTCCGGGGACGAGACCTGCGCCGGGCTGGCGGCACGTAGAGTCTCAGTCTCAGCCTCAGCTCTTTCTCTCTCTCTATCTCGCATACTTGACTTTATTCTTTCCCGACCCGCATGTGTCAGCGACGCAACATCTGCCAGCCAGATCCCTTCCTGTTGTCACGTTCCAGAAAGTACTCGAACCTAAGTGGATAAAGAGGGCGCTGTGAACGCTGCCCACCTCGCTGATACCTCCCCGAGGCTGACTCGAAATGTTTACGTTAGGGGAAAAGGAGTCAGCCAAGAGGGTTAAAACACGTTTTGCAGATTAATGCTTGAAAGCTGCTAATGCGGGGAGTGGGTAAAGCATCAATCTCGGTACGCAACGTTGGGAAGAAAGAAGGTGAAGTTTGGCATGTGCTCTAGTCTTTTCACCGAGGGACGTTTGGTGTGGAGGTGAACGAGAAGAAGGTGCGGGATGTCTACTGATTGGCGATGCGTTACCCGGCAGTCGTAAACTCAACCCTCTTTTTAGTAAGGATGTGGTTGTATCGCGAGGGCGGGGGAAGGGGGGGGGGGGGGGTGGATGAATTTGCCCAGCTAATGTAAAGGAAGTGCGGAGAGGTTACGAATGAGAAGAAATGGGAATAGGCTTCGGTCCCATGTGCGTCGGATGAATGATGCGGAGTAAAGACTGCGTAGATCATCTTTGGTAAGGTAGGTCTTGCTCGGGAAATCGAGATGAGAAGGAATAATTTGGGCCTGCGTAAACCAAAACATTCCAGTCCAAGGCACACGCATACGTTTCCGGACTCAGGTCTGGAATCGAACGGGAACTCGTGGTGATTCATCGCTCTTTTATTGTCGAGCCGGAAAACTGGGTAAGGAACAAGACTAACAGAACAAGAACAAGTTTCTCTCTGTCCCTCAAACCCATTGAGGGTGCCTTTTTTTCTTTTTTTGGTTTCTCGGATTCACTCACCTCTCAAAACTCCGCAACCGCCGAGCCGCCCTACGCTAACCTCAACCAATTCCTCAACCACCGGATCCCAAAGTCGTCATCAAAGTCATCAACCATTCAAACAACACCTCTTGTGCGCCGCCGACCACTTTTTTTCAAGTTCGCTATTCGCCAACCGCCGTCTTTCCCTACAGCCGTCCCACCAGCTTCTGACTCCGATCCGATGCTTGTCTAAGTAACGAAATGAGATGAGCCAAGCAGACACTTTTTGTTTTTAAACAACAACGAACAGTCAAAGACAACTTCATACTCGGGGAGAGAGTGACTAAAGGGGAGAGAGAAACCAGTCTGTTCTGTCATGCTTGCGTTGCGGCACAGAGAGCCCTTACACTCCAGTAGCGTCATCGAAAACAATCGCGGCCTTGATGGCGCTCTTGTTCTTGATGGACTCGAGAGCCTCGCCGAACTGCTCCAGCTTGAACGTCTTGTTGACGATACCCTTGGTCTTGACCTTGCCCGAGTCAAGGTAGTCAATGGTGGCGGCTGCGCGAGTGTTAGTATGACTGGGCTAGAGTGCCTACTCAAGCAGCAGGTACAGAGTTTTTCGAAGCTTGATACGTACGGAACATGTAGGTCTCGGAGAAGGAGCCGAGGATTGTGATCTCGTCACCGAAAATCTTAGAGGGGGGCCATGATACACGAGCAGAGCTGCTGTAGACACTATTTTTTGACACATCAGCAACCATGTACGCTAAAACGGCGCTTTGCTACCTTACCCGTAGACGACGAGCTTGCCACCGCGGCGGACGTAGTTGATGGCATCCTCGAGAATCTTGACGGAACCGGTAGCCTCAACGACGACGTCAAAGCCGTACGGGTGATCCTTCTGGAGCTGGGTGAACTGGACCTGGGGATCGGAGCGGGACAGCTCAATGTAGTTATCGGCAGCATCTAAGCTGCGAGCGAGGTCCATCTTCAGACCTTGAGGGGCCGCGATGGTGACATTGCAACCACCGTTGTGGCGCATGAGTTGAGCAAGCATCTATATCGTGGTGCATCGATCAGTCATTGGCGCACAGGGTGCAGGGTGTAATATCCCGGCCGAAGTGAACTCACAAGACCGGTGGGGCCGGCGCCGAACATGAGGACGCTTGATCCGAGGCGGGGCCGAATCTTGTCCAGACCGTGGCAGGCGCAGGAGGCGGGCTCGAGAAGAGTGGCATCGACATCGTTAAGGTTGTGGATCTTGAAGACCTTGCCGGCAGGGTACGCGCAGTACTCGGCGAAACCACCGTTCATTGTGACACCGTGAGCCTCAAACTGCAAAAAAGGTGTTACTTCAATATCCGTCCATATAAGTGGTTAAGTGGGGTCGGGCATACGTGCTCGCAGAGCAAAAGCTCTCCACGTCGGCAGTAGAAGCACTCATTGCAGAGCTCGCTGTTGTCGGCAGCAACACGATCGCCAACCTTGAAGTCCTTGACTTTCTGTGCTTTCATATTAGCAGTCGTTCCGTCAGAAGTTGTGGACAATAGCTTTGCTTACAGGTCCAACGGCGGCAACGACACCAACAGTCTCATGGCCAGGAATCAAGGGGAACTTTGCAATGAACTCTCCCTCGTGGATGTGCTATAAGTGATATTAGCTACGTTGCTCGAGGCATGACTGGAGGCCGTGAGGTTCGGGAGGTTTTACCAAGTCTGTGGCGTCCGGGTTAGTCGTACAGATCAATGCAAAAGATCACTCTCGACTTGCATAGCGTATGCAATGGTGCACGAGAGACGACAGTTCACTCACCAGTACCACAAACACCACAAGCTCTAACTTTGACCAGAACATCGTTCTCCCGAAGCTCTGGAAGAGGAACTTGGACAATTGACCAATCCTCGGGCTTCTCGTAGCTGGATGAGGGGTCAGCTTAGCGCCAATGGAGGGGTAGATGGTCCAGCGACCAAAGTTGCGTGAACTGCCACGCTGACCCGATGATCATTCATAGTTGAGAAAGGGGGGCCATACCGGAGAGCCTTCATCTGCTTGGGAAGGTTCGACATGTTGAAAGGTTTTTGACTTGTGCTCTGATGAAGATAGGTGTGCTATCGTATCTTGATGCTCAGTTAGCGGATGTTAAGAGAATGAATGAGGTTCAGCCTGTGTTATAGGGGGAGCAGAGAAACGACGGCAGCTAACAACGTACACGTGAGACTCACTGGAGGACAGGCGAAGTGAGGGGAAGCTTGACTTGGTGCTTCTATGTGAAGCTCCAAGAGGTGGAATGGGTAGCTTTATATAAGGCCTCCTTCGAGCAGCGCGGGGAATGGGCGCATCTTGGGACGGAGATGGGACCAGGGTCCAAGGCGTTGTTGGCTGGCGTGTCTGAGGTCAGGGTACTTACATCTAAATCCTCCCTTAGACTCGCATTTTACGCTCAAATCGGCGAGCTTCGATGGCTGCACCGAGCTCATGTACCTATTCATTCGTGTGGTGCCATCCGGCATGTTGGCGTAGGTAGCTGCATCCCGCGTCCGCAGACGCATCCTCGACCACATCGACGCGCCACTCGGCCAACAAATGATGGTACATACACGAGACGGCATCCCACGCCTCGAGAAAGACCCCAGCCTGGCCTGGCCAAACATTGATCGGTGAGGATGAAAAGCACCTGAGAAAGACCGGAGCTGTTGGCAGACCACAGAGCTGAGCAAAGTCTAAACCCCCCCTGTCCGTCCAAAAATCGCCCCGCCCCCAGACTTTCAGCGGAGTTATTGCTGCAAACCTGGCGTCATCACGCAGGGCAGGGCTGCCACCAGCAACCAGATTTCCAAGCGCGGGAAAGTCGGGAGGCAATGGCTCTAGGAATAATCGAAAAGCAGGAGAAGAATCGAAGAGTGAGGGGGGGGGGGGGGGGCAAGGCCATGACAACACGTCTACGAACGAGCTTCCAACAATCGCCAGACAGTCCAGCTGTCTAGCTCATCCCATTGAACGGGGTCGAGACACTATCATCGAGCCACTCAGCGAAGCGAGAGCTAGCGAGCTGCATCCAAATTGGAGAGCGGGGAGCGTGCAAGAAGTCCTGGTCTCGAATTGTAAGTGTGTAAACCAGACAGTGACAACACCACTTCCACCATCAACAACACCATCTCTTCTTTTCTTTCCCGCCAAGAGGTCCACTTGGACACCGCCGCAGTGCTTATCTTGCACATCCGGTACTGTTCCCCTGGCACACTACCTCAACAAAACATTCCCAAAGCCGGGCCAAGGAGAGTGGGAGCGTGGTAACACCCCATGGCACATGACATGAACTTACCGTAGTCTACTCGTCTCGACCTTGCCCGGCGTCCAGATTCCTGCTGATAGGTACGCGCGCCCGCGATTCTCTCTCCACGCGCTATCCTTGGAGTGCCCCCCCTCGCCGGTTGTTCCCCGGTTTGCTGGCCTTGTAGCGCCAGCCCTTGGCGTGGAGACGCTGCCTCCACATGCAGTTGACTTACGTACCGGGTTGGCGCGAAGATAGTAGAATGGGTCGTTGGATGCTCTGATATGATTCTGAGTCTCTGTCACCCTGAAGTTGGGCTTGATTTGCGTTTGGTGGCTCATAGCTTAATCGTGTCTCTGATTATTGACCTGCACCACAAGGTGCTGGGGCATGATAAGATGTCCGTCTTTGCTCGCGCGGCTAGCGTTGAGACGACGTTCTTGCAGCTCCCGAGATTAGAAGATGTTCTGCCGCTGATGGTGTGGTGAAGC